TCATCAATGGATTACTCTATTTGATGGATTAATAATTTGAATGGACTAATGGAATAGTGCTAATTATAGGCAGGTGGGATGTGGCTGTAGAAAATAGCAAAACCGAAGTTTTGAGGTGCAACTCAATTATCCACTTCTACCAGCAGGTGAGATGGGAATTTCTCCACTTCTGCTGGCCAGTTGGGTCTGCGTAAGATTGCAGGGCTCTGCAGCCAGAAGTGTTGCAGCTCATATTGGCAGGTCATGCCCCCCAGTGTTACAGCAGACCCAGCAGCTCACCATCAATTTCTTCTTCTTTCTGTGTTCTTGTCTCCTGAATTTGAAGAATGAAACCCACCGACCAGGATGAGTGAGTGTCAAAGTAGAATTTATTGAGGAATGGAAACAGGGGAAAGACTTCTTGCAGTGCAAGAGGGGACTCAATAGCCGGTTTTCGCCCACCAAGTGGGCTACTCTAAGGGTTCACATAGCACTTGGGTCACTGCTATTGATCCAAACTTATGCTAATTAGGGTTTGGAAAAGTAATAATGCTATTGGTTAGCCCTGAATCCCATTCAGTTTTGCCTTAGTTCCATTTTCTCCCAAGTGGGAGGCTGAATTACACAGGATCAGAGGGGGTGTCTGAAGCTGCAGTCTGTGTGGAGTGTGCTTCTGCAGCAGGAGGCATCCACACTGTGTGCAGACCAAGCTGAGGTTGGGTGACAGATTGGCTTGCCCCAGCTCACCTCAGGACTCAGGCCCACACCGGCATGGTGGGATTTCCAACTTGCTGTGGCTGCCATTCTGCCTCTTCACAGCTCCCTCACAAACACACTTCCCAGCAGGAACCAGTGAGCTGGCTGCACTGCTGGGCAGCCAGAGAGCCATGTCAGTAGATCACTGGGCACATGGCCTGAGAGATTATAGATGATTCTGGTTCCTTCCCCACCACCCTTCTCTGCTTCCTGGCTGCCATGGGTTGAACATCTTTCCTCCACCATGCCCTTCCACCATGATGTTTCTGCAGGGAAGCCAGCCAACCATGGACTGAGACCTCCAAAATCATGAGGCAAAATGAATCTGTTCTTGTTTAGGTTTTTCTTGACACTTATTTTGGTCACAGTGATGAAGATATGGCATGGGTTAGAGGTTGTGGTGGATAAGATATATAGAAAAGATAAAGAGAAGCAAGACTCAAAGCCCAGGGCTAGGGTTCAAGAGTGGAACTGCCCAGCAAGGCAGCACTGTCCCCTGCCTCACCTCCAATGCCTCTCCCTCTCATCTTTTATCTTCCAGCTATACAGAAAGCTAGATGAGAAATTAGCGTGGAGTCAGACTGTTGGATCCAACACCAGCTCCAACACTCACTAGGTGGAATGGTTTGGATCTGAAATTCCTCCAATAGCTCATGTGTTGAAGGTAGGTGGCCCAGCTCAGATATGCTCAGAGGTGGGACTTTGGGGAAATGATTGGATCACAGCTGAATGGGCTACTAGGAGGTGGAGCCCACCTGGACAAAGTAGGTTACTGGGTGTGACTTTGAAGGGTATAAGAGTATACTTAACTCTGGACCCTCCTCCCCCTGGTTCCCTCTCTCTGCTTCCTGGCTGCCATGAGATGAGCAATCTCCTCTACTCTTTGCTCTTGCTGCCATTATGTTCTGACACCTCAGAGCCAAAGCAATGGAACCAGCCAAACCTGGACTGAAACCTGAGCCAAAATAAATCTTTCCTCCTCCAAGTTAATTTTCTCAGGTATTTGTCAAAGTCCCATAAAGCTAACACACTAGATATATAACTTAGAATTTTAATTTAATACTTTTAATTTTCTGTGCTCATCTTCTCCCATCTTTAAAATCAGGATACTAATATCTATATCTTAGATTGTTGTGAGAATTAAATGCAATGCCTAGAAAAGTACCCAGTACTTAACGTGATAGCATCATTAACTGCTACCTAGTAGTATCATAACTCGGCATTTTCAACATCCTATCGTCTCAGTTCTAATCCTTGACTCCAGCTCTTTCCTATGCCTGAAAAATACTATGCTAAATTAATTCCAAGCACATCTCCCAATTCTCAGCCCCAATATCACTCCTCCAGCAGCCTTTTCTAATGCCCAGGGATGACATCTTGTCTCCTCCACACCACTCAATACTTTCCCTCCAGTAATGACCCTCATCTTCTACAATAGTCACGTATTTGTTTTTCCCTCTAGATTAAAAACTCTACGAATGGCAGCAGAATACAACAGACACTAGTATGGCAATATGTAAATCAATGGATGTGTAACTGATGTGATTCTGCAATTTGTATACAGGGTAAAAATGGGAGTTCATAACCCACTTGAATCAAAGTGTGAAATATGATATATCAAGAACTATGTAATGTTTTGAACAACCAACAATAAAAAAATTTAAAAAAAAAACTCTATGAAGGGAGGAATTGTGCTTAATTTCACTAATATTAGTGAAATTCCCCAAGGTAGAGAAGGTAGTGACCAAGCCCAGAGCCACATTATAAGTTTACAGGGCCAATTTTGCCTTTGTAGACAATTTTCCTCCACTGAAAATGTTTTAAATTATATTTTATTACCACCTTGGTATAATGATGAATATAATCCCAACCAAATACGTTATTGTATATTGGGGGGGGGGGGGGGGGGACCTGTTTTCGGATGGTGTTTTGTTCTTGCTGTGTTGTCCAGGCTGCTCTTAAACTCCTGGGCTCAAATGATAATCCCACCTCAGTCTCCCAAGGGGTTGGGATTACAGTTCTGTACCACTATAACTGACTTATTATACTTATTATATTTTTTACATTGTGATTATTAAAAGAAATTAAAATTAAAACATTTTTGAGAAAATGAGGCACTGAACCTACTGTGACTAATAGATAAGTTGACCTATAAGCATCAGTAATAAAAGAGTTAAAATTAGGGCTGGGGGTAAGCTCAATGGTACAGTGCTCAGCAGGATTCAATCCTAATACTGCAAAAAAAAAGAAGAGTGGGTGGGTGGGGGCAAGGAGAGTTCAAAGCAATGAGGAACACGAGAATGGGGAAGGGGCTACAATCTGAAATTAGACTGATTTTTGGGATAGGGCAGCAATGTAGCTACGAAACAACTCTATTGCAAAAATAAATAAATAAATAAATAAATAAAGCTCTGACTCCAACTCATTAAACCAATAGCTGGAAAGTCCAGAGTGCAGGGCAGGATCCAGGCTTGCTTGATTCAATAACTTGACAGTATCTGCAATTCAGGTTCTTGTTCTTCTGCACTGACCTCTGTCCAGAGCATCTGCTTCACGCCGAGGCTAACCCCCTTTGTGGTCATCAAACAAGTGTCAGCAGAAACATTACAGCTTCCTTTCTGGTTTACATCCAGTGAGACAGCCCAGGAATTTTAGGCCTTTCCTTCTGATCAGTCAGCTTTAGTAATGTGTCTAACCTAAACAATGATGGTCCCTTGGAAATACCCCACACTAGCTGTCCTAGCAAACCAAAATCCACCCTAGAGTAGGAATGTGATATACACCAGAACAAAACCAGGGAACAGGAAATGTCTAATAATTCATTCTACAAATCCTGAACCCCCTCACCACATCATGTGTATAAAAAGGTAACAGCCCTGGGGCTCAGTGGTAGAGCACTTGCCTAGCACATGTGAGGCACTGGGTTTGAACCTAAGCACCACATAAAAATAAATAAAGGTATTATGTCTATCTACAACTAAAAAATTTTTTTAAAAAAAGGTAACAGGGCTGGTGTGATGGCACATGCCTGTAATCCCAGCATCTTGGGAGGCTAGGGTAGGAGGATAAGTCCAAAGCCAACCTCAAAAAGACTTTATCCTCAAAATTAAAAATACAAAAGGGCTGGGGACATAACTCAGTGACAGAACACCCCTGGGTTCAATCCCCAGTATCACACACACACACACACAAAAAAAAAAAAATCAAAGGAACTTTTGATGCAAGGATGAATCATCTTAAAGGACACGATTTGTGGAGGATATTTTGGGGGAAAAGCAGTGTTCAATGAGCCCTAAACCCCACACTCCTTCCCTTAAGGGGTGAAAAGGAAGTAGCATCTGAGCTGAGAAACATTAACATCTATTATAGAAACGGGGGCCGGGTAGAGTGGAGTGGAGCTGAGGCAGAGGGAACTGTGCAGGCAAAGGTCCTGAAGAGGGAAGAAGAATGGCACATTCTAGGGCAGAGAGTGAGGGAGGGTAGCAGGAGAAGGGATTGAAAGGGAAAAAACAGACAAGACTGGAAAGCCCTCCAACACTTCCAACAGATGCAGATGCAGGAAGGTCACCAAGGAGATCGTGGCGTCATCCAGGGCAGCATGGCTGGGGATCTTCCCCAGAGTAGCAGCAGACAAATGGGGAGATGGAGTCAATGGATTCAAGAGGTTTCACTGTCTGTGGGGGGAGGAAAAAATTCAGTGACAAGTAATATTAACCATGCCTTTTTATTTTCTGTATTTCTGATGCTTTGACATCAGGGGTCTTGCTATCCCTGAAGGAACTGTTCCTCCAGGGCTAGCTAATCCTTAGAGACCGTAATAAACCACCTGTGAGAACACCTTTCCCATGGAAACCAGCTGATCCAGAGGACGTGCACTGGCAACCACCTCCTCTGTGAGGCTCTCACACACCTATCGGGAGACCAGGTTCAAGACAGCCAGGAGCAGCCCCTATGCCCCAGAGCCTGCTGAAATTATTCAAACCAGCCAATCCTAAACCTACCAACCCTGCCTTACCTGTTCCTTTTCATAGAAAATAAAATAAAAGCTCTTGCCCATGTTCCTCCTCTCTGTCAACCTCCAGACAGCCCCAGTGCGTCCCTGCATGCACCTGGGAGCTCTGGGCAGGGCATCATGCCAACAGCTCTCAACTGTTTCTAGAGCTCCATAACAATAAAAAGTCTTCCTTCAAGACAGTCACTCCTGTATCCTCCTCTTCCCACACCTGATTAACAGATTCCAGGTCCTCTTAAAATAAGAACACCACTTTTGAAAAATAAAAATATACTCAATTTATTCTAATTGAGACGAGGGTGGTATGTGATGGTAAAATTCAAACAAAAGAGTTTTTCTTCAGTATGCCCAGCAATGGCTTCTGCAACACATCTGTATCGGCCCTAAAACAAGGGGGAAAAAAATACAAGTTAAAATGTTAAACTTTGCTATTTTTAAATATCTTTTTAGTTGCAGTTGGACACATTATTTGCTGAGGATCGAACCCAGCATCTCGCATGTGCTAGGTGAGCGCTGTACCGCTGAGCCACAACCCCAGCCCCAAATGCTGCTCTTTTTAAAGAATTTTTATTGTCAGTACTGCAATTGAACCTGGACTGAGACTGGCCTCAAATTTGTGATCCTCCTACCTCAGCCTCTTGAGTAGGTGGAATTACAGGCATGTGCCACAGCACCTGGCTTAAAAAGAACTTCCTTAATGCCATGTAATTAAATTGTTTATATTTTCTTCTGGTGGTAGGAGCTAAACCCAAGCCTCATGCATGCTAGGCAAGCTTTCTACCACTGAGCTACACTCCCAACCCAGTTATCAGTTTTTCAGTTTTCAAATGACATGGAATATTACATGCCTTTGAATTCAATGATTATAGATTCCATTTATTTCCCAATTAAAAGATGAGGAGTTGGGGGTGTTGGCTTTTGCCTATAATCCTAGCAACTCAGGAGGCTGAGGCAGGAGGATTGCAAGTTCAAGGCTAGCCTTGACAACTTAGGGATACCCTATATCAAAATTAAAAAAAAAAAATTTAAATGAGCCTGGATATGTAGCTCAATGGTAAAATACCTCTGGGTTTGATCCCTAGTACCAAAAAAAAAAAAAAAGAAAGAAAAAGAAAAAAGAAAAAACTGAGGACTTGGGGCTGGGGATGTGGCTCAAATGGTAGTGCGCTCGCCTGGCATGCGTGCGGCCCGGTTCGATCCTCAGCACCACATACAAACAAAGATGTTGTGTCCGCCAGAAACTAAAAAAAATAAATATTAAAATTCTCTCTCTCTCTCTCTCAAAAATAAGTAAATAAAGGGATTCTAAGACAAAAATATTTTTTAAAAAAACTGAGGACTTATACAATTCTTAGAAAATAGCCTATGAGTTTCTCAGATATTATGCTTTTTGTAACAAAACATCTAAAGAATATGCTTTAATAAAGTTTATTTTTAAATAGTTTCCAAAAGTGAAATATATAAAATTTCATTGCCAGTTATATGATACAAATATCTAAAATTACATTGGTATTCATTGAGGCAGTAGTTATTTTTAGAAAGGTCTGGACATTCAAGGTAAGTTCCAAAGAAAATTTTTAAACAAAAATAAGCCTATAAGTTATGTGATTTCTATTCTCCTAAACAATTTATATAATTAGTATATTGCATGAGTAGTTATACACTATTACTGACTTATATACAGTGATTGAACAGTGCTTTCATATGAAGCCCATTCAACAGATTAATAAAATGAGCATTCTCATTACTTTTAGCCTTGTATGTTAGAGGAAAAAATGACAAAAAAGAGTTAATCACATGTGCAATTTTTCCATATTCTACAAAAGGAAGAAATACCTACAACTAAAATTTTTAAACATTTTAATCTTGAACCACTATTTTTAGAGGTTGTAAATTACTTCTTTCAAACTCTTAACACATCTGGTACTGCAAAAGGTTAAGAACATACAAAATAAATTTTGAAGAATACCTTAAGAAATAGTATTCCCCTGAAGGAGAACGGTATTGTTGTATTCACAGTCTCTGCAAACATAATGCAAAATACATCATTATTAGGTGATCTTTCTTTTCTTTCTTTCTTTTTTTAATTGCATGGAACATCCCTTTATACACAACACTGGCTACTGGCAAAGGCAGTCTCAAGTAAAACTAGAGAATAATAGATCTTACACCCTGACTAGTACTCTCCTATGGCTTCTTCTGCCCCACAGAGCCTCTCTCTTAGGGGATGCAAACTTTTAAGATGAACTGGTCTCAAAAATGAATGAATGAATGAATGAAAATATGCATTATCTCAGGTTATATATGTACATATTTAATTGTAGTTTTCAAAAATATTGTTGCACCTTTACCTGGATGTAATAGAGAAAACTTTTCCTAAGGGTGGGAGAGATATTCCAAAGGCAGCCAGACAACTGAAGCTCCTCTTATCACAGCACTGAGAAGCTTGACTAAGGTCAATAGACACAAGGAGGGTTTGGGAGAGGGTAAATAGAAAGAAATTCAGTAAGAGGCACCAAAAACACAGAGTGAAGGAATCACTCCCGGTTCTTCTCTAGCACAGTAAGGTAACTGTTGGGCAAAACAACCTATGATATATTTCAAAAAAAATGACTGGTAAGTACATAATTCCCAATGCATAAAAATGATTCATGGTTGAAGAGATAGAAATGCTTATTACCCTGATTTGAGTAATAAACATTGTATACATGTATTGACTTATCATAACATACCCATAAAGATGTACAAATTTTAAAATAAAAAACAATTTTTAAAATAGAAGGCTAAGAACCCAATCAACAAATGGGCCAAGGACTTGAACAGAAACTTCTCAGAAGAGGATATACAATCAATCAACAAATACATGAAAAAATGCTCACCATCTCTAGCAGTCAGAGAAATGCAAATCAAAACCACCCTAAGATACCATCTCACTCCAGTAAGATTGGCAGCCATTATGAAGTCAAACAACAACAAGTGCTGGCGAGGATGTGGCGAAAAGGGTACACTTGTACATTGCTGGTGGGACTGCAAATTGGTGCAGCCAATTTGGAAAGCAGTATGGAGATTTATTGGAAAGCTGGGAATGGAGCCACCATTTGACCCAGCTATTCCCCTTCTTGGTCTATTCCCTAAAGACCTAAAAAGAGCATGCTGCAGGGACACTGCTACAACGATGTTCATAGCAGCACAATTCACAATAGCAAGACTGTGGAACCAACCTAGATGCCCTTCAATAGACGAATGGATAAAAAAAATGTGGCATTTATACACAATGGAGTATTACTCTGCATTAAAAGATGACAAAATCATAGAATTTACAGGGAAATGGATGGCATTAGAGCAGATTATGCTAAGTGAAGCTAGCCAATCCCTAAAAAACAAATGCCAAATGTCTTCTTTGATATAAGGAGAGTAACTAAGAACAGAGTAGGGTCGAAGAGCATGAGAAGAAGATTAACATTAAATAGGGATGAGAGGTGGGAGGGAAAGGGAGAGAGAAGGGAAATTGCATGGAAAGGGAAGGAGACCCTCAGGGTTATACAAAAGTACATACAAGAGGAAGTGAGGGGAAAGGGAAAAATAATACAAGGGGGACAAATGAATGACAGTAGAGGGGGTAGAGAGAGAAGAGGGGAGGGGAGGGGAGGGGGGATAGTAGAGGATAGGAAAGGCAGCAGAACACAACAGACACTAGTATGGCAATATGTAAATCAATGGATGTGTAACTGATGTGATTCTGCAATCTGTATATGGGGTAAAAATGGGAGTTCATAACCCACTTGAATCAAAGTGTGAAATATGATATATCAAGAACTATGTAATGTTTTGAACAACCAACAATAAAAAATTTAAAAAAAAACTACTCTAAGATACCATCTCACTCCAATAAGAATGGCAGCCATTATGAAGTCAAACAACAATAAGTGCTGGCGAGGATGCGGGGGGAAAGGTACACTCATACGTTGCTGGTGGGACTGCAAATTGGTGCAGCAAATTTGGAAAGCAGGATGGAGACTCCTTGGAAAGCTGGGAATGGAACCACCATTTGACCCAGCTATTCCCCTTCTCGGACTATACCCAAAAGACCTAAGAAGAGCATACTACAGGGACACAGCCACATCAATGTTTATAGCAGCACAATTCACAATAGCTAGAATGTGGAACCAACCTAGATGCCCTTCAATAGATGAATGGATTTTAAAATGTGGCATTTATACACAATGGAATATTACTCAGCACTAAAAGATTTAAAATCATGGCATTTGCAGGCAAATGGATGGCATTAGAGCAGATTATGCAAAGTGAAGTTAGCCAATCCCTAAAAAACCAATGCTGAATGTCTTCTCTGATATAAGGAGGGTGACTCAAAATGGGATAGGGAGGAAGAGAATGAGAAGAAGACTACCACTAAATAGGGAAGAGAGGTGGGAGGGAAAAAGAGGGAGAAGGGGAGTTGCACGGAAGATGGAAGGAGAACTTCATTGTTATACAGAATACATATATGATGTTGTAATGAGAAAAAGAAAAAAAAGTGTGTCACATTAGATTGGATAGAGAGAAAGGATGGGAGAGGAGGGGAGGAGTAAGGAGGATAGGAAGGGCAACAGAATAGAATTGACAATATGATTGATGTATGTATTATATGTCAAAATGCATTCTATTATCATGTAAGACTAAAAAATAAATAAATAAAATTTTAAAAAAAATAGAAGGCTAAGAATTTAGTTTCTGATTAAATGCACAGTTCCTAGCCATGAACAAGCCATGAAGCACAGCCAGAACTGGAGGAAAAACCACACTCTGCCATTCTCGTCAGACAGAGGAAACTGTTGAAGGGGGTAGAGGCAGGGAATAAGAATGGAAAGAAAGAAATATTTTGAATGTTAAACAAAAGATATAGTTTTCAGTTTTGATTTGGTGGTGCAGGGGACTGAACCCAGAAGCACTTTTTACCACTGACCTACATTCCCAGCTCTTTTCATTTTTTATTTGAGACAGAGTCTCCCTGTGTTGCTAACCTGGGATCCTCCTGTCTCAGCTGCCCAAGTACTGAGATTACAGGTGTATGCCACGCACCCAGCCAAAAATCTTCTTTAAGTAACAGTCAAATGTACAATTAAAATAGTTATTGTTCTCAGAATTGGCTACAGATAATACTTAAAGGCAGATAAATAGATTATGCCTGCATGCATACATCTGTTCTCATAAATATTTCTACTTCTGGGAGTATCTTTATTAAGAGTATAACACAGTGAGATGCTTCTTAAGCTCAGTGAAGGCATTGTATCTTCTTAATCTTTTTTTAAATATTTTTTAGTTATGCATGGGCACAATATCTTTATTTTGTTTATTTATTTTTATGTGGTGCTGAGGATCAAACCCAGGGTTTCACACGTGCGATGCAGGCGCTCTACCGCTGAGCCACAACCCCAGTCCTCTTCTTATATCTTTCATTCAAGGACAATTCAATTTAAAAATCTAATAGTCAATAAATATTTATTGAAAGTCTACTATATGCCAGGAACTAGGGAGATAATGGCTACTATAACAACATCCTTTCCCTCAAAGAGCTAAAGACAATTGGGGTATAGACAAATAAAGAAACTCTTCCAAGTACAATATGCAATGAAAAAAATACAGTAAAGATAAAGGTGGCAAAGCATTTTTGGAAAGAGATATGGTTCTGGAGCAAGGCTGTCTGGATTTGGTTGTCTTTTTTTATACATAGTAACTTTATTTGTAATAGCCAAAATCATAATTAACTCAACAATGCATTTATCCACTCATCAATAAGTGAGTGGATAAATGAATTTAGGTACATCCACACAATGCAATAGAAGGAAGCATATACAATAGCATCAATGAATGTCAGAGTTATTATGCTCAGGGAAAAAAGTCAGACAAAGAAGAACACATGCTGTATGAATTTGTGTATATGAACTATAGAAAATGAAATCTACTGTACAGTAATTGAAAGTAGGGGGCTAGTGATGTAGCTCAGTAGTGAAGCACATGTCTATCATACACTAAACCCAGGGTTCAAGCTCCAGGACCATAAAAAACAAAAACCCAAATGGGGGCAGGGGGTTATTACACCAGAACATTACACCAGAACATTAATCTATCTAGACATCCCATGATCTCTAATTCCTGAAAAGTACATGCTCCCCTTTCTCTATTTTTGCATATCAAATCTCTGCCCACCCTTCATATACAATTAAAATAGTTATATTTTATCATTGAGAGTCCTCTTCTGAATTCTCATGATATGCCAAATGTACTTGCTTTATTAGCTTGAGTATTGATCAGATATGTACGTCTGTGTGATTGTCACATACATAAGTAGTGCCTCTCTTTTCCTCCACCCTGCTCTATGAGGAGGACACGACTGACTGATTCATCTTCGCTTTCTCCATTGTGCCTTGTAGATGGTGTACCATAAATACTTATTCACATGTGAAAAGACAGAAATCATAGATGTGTCTTCTGAAATGAGTCATTATTGCATAGATTTCATTTCTCAGCTTCCAAGAAGAAAATAACACTAGAGCTATTTCTAGAAATGACTTCAGAAGTGAACTTTAAGACCTCATATCCAAAGAACAGAGCTCAAGGTCAGGATTTTGACCTGACATGACCACTCTGTATAGGATGGCTGAAAGGACTACCCCTGGAGTCTTCTCAGTGCCTATCAGGTTCCATCTGCTCCTTGTAGTTACACTTATCTATCCTTATTTGAGTTATTACTATGGATTTGGCTTCTATTAAGTTCATTTAAATTTTTTATAGACTCTTGCCTAGTTTTCTGCCTAATCAAGCTGTCGACCTTCCTAAGAGAGACCCATGTCTGTTCTCATAGCAAGTGGTGCCGGGGACACAGAAGTAATTGGATAAATATTGGTTGAACTGCACAAGATTGAAATGAGTTTGAAAAGTACTTTTAGAAATCTCAAGAAAAAAGTATATGTTCCTTATTGTTCTTCACTTCCAAAACCTTCAAAGTTTTGAAAATAGTATTT